CCTTCCTTCCTTCCTTCCTTCCTTCCTTCCTTCCTTCCTTCCTTCCTTCCTTCTTTCTTCCCACTTGTAGCCAGAATTACTGTCAAACTCCACTCATTGGGCCAGAGACCCGTGTGGTGGTAGCAGAAGACGTGCCCCTCAGGCAGCGTGCTACCAATGCTTGTGAATTTCTTGGGGTTTTTTTCATTCTATTACCAAAATGTTATAGTAACAGATTGGGTATATGGATAATTTTTTGTTGGTGATTTTTGTTCTTAGTAACTTCAGGAGTGAAGTGAACTTCCTGCCCCCAAAAGTAGTATTGCTGATTTAGTGTTGCTGACCAGAGAGCGGTAGCTCGCGTAAGAATTCTAGAGTTACCGTAAAGAAAACAAAAAGCAGTAAGTAGCCCCTTCAGTTCTCCTGTTTCTGAGTTTGTCGGTGTTTCCTATATGCTGACCAGGGTCGACCGGTGTTGATGCTGTGGGGACCACTTCAGGCATGGCTGCACTGTAACCTCTGTGACCCCCTTTCCTAGTGTCACCTCAGGCCTCTGAAGTCCCGCCCACTGTCCCTCTCCCCCAGTCCGACTGAGCCACCCAGGCACCCCCATTTTAGATTCTTTGGGATGACAGTGGTACTCAAATGTCACTTCTGGATGCCTGCCTGGAATGCTCCCGGCCCTTCTGGAAAGGTGTTGTCAGAGAAGGGCTGCTGTCTGTCCCCAGGGTGACGGTGGCCCTTGGGCCCAGCCTGCCTACCCTCTGGGCTCGCTGTGAGGCCTCCGGCCTGTTCCTGTAGGTCAAGGCCCGGAGCACCACGTGGTTTTACACGTGGGGATCCACCCCTTCTGTGCCAGGTGATGCGCCCTCAGCGGTCTGTGTGGCCTCGGGCTCACCTGGTGAGGGGCAGCCCTTGCCCATACCTCCCACGCAGCCCCGCGGCCCGTCCTTGGCAGAGACGGAGGAGCGAGAGGTCTTAGACACTTAGAGCAGTTTGACGAAGGAGCTTTATGCTGTGGACTCTGAATGTTAAAGACTCGGATTTGTGTGTCATATGCCTTTGTTTTTTCATCTTATTTTCCTCCGGCGCTTTATTTTTATTGTGTTTCAGAGAAGCGCCACTCCGCGACGGATTGGAGATAAGAGAGCAGAGGAAGCTGCTCGAGTGCGGCGGGGGGGAGCGCCCCCCGAGCGGAGCCGTGTGCGCGACGGGCGGGCCGCTGGCTCTCGGAAGCTTCTGGGCTCCAGTCCTCTCTCAGCTCCTCGCTGCCTCGTTTTCTCATCTGCAAAGTGGGAGAGCGCTTCGCGAGCCTGTTCAAAGGACCTGGCTCTTGTCGGTGAGCGGCCGGTCCCCCTCTTCCCTTCCTCGGTGGTCCTCCTAGACATCCTGCCCCGCTCCCTCTGCTGCAGGGTGAGGATAGGGTAGAAAGGGCCCTTCGGAAGGTACGTGTGACCACACAGCTGCTCACTGGCCCCGAGCGTCCTCCCGCTTGGCGACAGCGATGCCACAGATGGGGATCTGAGGGGGGGGGCGCGGCGGAAGGACGGCCAGAGCCCCTGACTCTGCGCCCCCCTCCCCCGCCGCAGCTGCCCCGATGCTGCCGCCGCCCTCGGAGCAGGCCCTGGGCCAGCTGCTGGCTCGCAAGGAGGAGGAGTGGAGGGCGCTGCGGGCCCACCGCTGCCAGCTGCAGGAGGCCGCGCTGCAGGACGCGCACAGCCAGCTGCACGAGGCGCAGGGGGCGCTGCGGCGCCTGCGGGAGGACTTCGTCTACAACCTGCAGGTGCTGGACGAGCGGGACCGCGAGCTGGAGCGCTACGACACCGCGTTCGCCCAGGCCCGGGCCCGGGAGGAGGCGCGGCAGGCGGAGGTGAGCGAGCTGAGGGTGGAGGCGGCCCGGCTGAGGCGGGCGCTGGCCAGCGAGGCCCGGCGGCTGGACGACCTGCAGCGGCGGCACCAGCTGAACTTGGAGGAGCACCGGCTGGAGCTGGAGCGCACGCACAGGTGAGGCGGCCCCGCCCCGCGGCGCGGGGGACGAACGGGACACTGCTTGAAACGCTGGCCGTTTTCTCCACGGATGACAAATCTGTATCATTTCAATAAAAGCTGTTCGAGTTCGTGACTGTTAATGATGCAAAATATGTTTCAATCCCCAAACTCCGTGAGCTCACTTGAGACAGGCTGACCAGGAACCCAGCTCGGGTCAGAGCGTCCCATTGGCTGGGCCCCCCGGGAGGCCGCTCACTGTCACACGCTTGTCACAGCTGCTCCCCGGCTCCCCAGCGGGAAGACAGATACGACCGGCTTCATTTAAAAATCTGGTGTCCTTCCCCCGATTTCAGCGTGTACGTTTGTGATGTCATGTTAACACTTGGGGTCCCACCTCCCTGGTGTGCGCGTGTGCGTGCACGTGTGTGTGTACACGCGAGAGTGTGTTGTGTGTGCACAGAGCGGTGGGCCGCATCCTGCAGGTTCTCTTGTCACTGAATGGGGTCCTAAATAGCGGTTTGTTTTTTTAGGTTTGTTTATCTTGAGAGAGAGAATACACACGAGTGTGCGAGTAGGGGAGGGGCAGAAGGAGAGAGGGAGACAGAATCCGAAGAATCCGAAGCAGGCTCCAGGCTCTGGGCTGTCGGCACAAAGCCCAACGTGGGGCTGGAACTCACGAACCGCGAGATCGTGACCTGAGCCAAAGTTGGAGCTTAACCCACTGAGCCCCCCAGGCAGCCCCTGAATAGTTTCTCATGTTGTTACGTACGTGCTTAAAGCACTTGTTAAAAAAATCGCAATGGTAAGGATATTCTTGTCATGACCATGACTTGTACCGTGAGGTGAAGATGGTCCGGTGAAAAGGGAAAGCTGCCGGAGGGGTCCGTTGTGTTCCCTCCAGGAGAGCTCGCTTTTACGCCCACAAAGTCGTGTCCCGCACACGCTGCCCACAACCTGCCCGTGGCGGTTTCCCATCTATCCGGGAAGCTATTCTTCGTGTCATGCGCTGAGCTCTGCCACATCTTTTCAGATGGCTCCCTGGCCCTCTTAGTGGATTCTGGGCCTGTTCGTTCCGGGCTCCGTGGCAGGTTGGGCGTGAGGGGAGGAGACCTCCCTCAGTTGGGTGTGGGCCCACGTCGGCTCACAAGCCCCTGGCCCACAGGCTCTGTAACAACAGCCTCCTGTAACAACACACAGGCACAGTTTCCAGGGTCCCGAGAGGGAAGCCTGGAAGCCCGGAAGCCCGAGGTGTTCGTGGCCCTCTGCTGATTCTCCCAGCTCCGATGCAGCGCGTGAGGAAGCCCGCCATTTGTTCAGGCGGCGTGGTGCGTGATGTTCGCACCCCTCGCCACCTCACTGGGGGGCCAGGGAACAGAGATGCAGAGTTCGGCCACGGTCAACGTCCCCCGGAGCCGGGGAGGGGCCCCGTAACCTGCCCCTGCAGGATGGGTGTTGGCATTCTGGCTATTCTCCAACTTCATCGTTAAAAATTACACCGTGATGTACCTGTAGCATGGGTGGCAGGTGCTTTTAACGTTGCGACATGTGGGCCCGCTTGCCCTCCGTGGACACGCTGAGTTTCAAGCATCCTTCTTGGAGTGCCGTACGTTCTATCATTTTTTTAATGTTTATTTATTTATTTTGTGAGAGAGACACACGGGAGGGGCAGAGAAAGAGGGAGAGACAGAGAATCCCAAGCAGGCTCCCCGCTGTCAGCGCAGAGCCCAGTGTGGGGCTCGGTCCCAAGAAACGTGAGATCATGACCTGGTCCAAAATCAGGAGTCGGTCACTTAACTGACCGCATACCACCCAGGTGCCCCAAGTGCTCTACATTTTAAAGTGTCTCCTCGGGTCATTTATTTGCCCATTCTTTTTTTTCTTTGTCTTTGTTTTCTCTGTCTCTCTCTCTCTTTTTTTTTTTTTTTTGACAAATTTGAGACATGTTCATCCATGACTTCTTCCAGTACATTTCAGCTCTCCTCTTTTTCCCTCCATTCTGGGACTCAGTGGCACCAACACTCAGCTTTTGTGGCTGTCCCTCAGCTCCCTGGGCTCTGCTCATTTTTTCCAGTCTGTTTCTCTGTGTTATTTGATGGGGTGATTTCTGTTGTTCTGGTTTCAAGTTCATGGATTCTTTTCTCTGTCATGTTGTCACATTCACTCGGCCGTTAAGCCGCCCGGCGAACCTTCTGTTCGGTTACGGTACCTCTTCGTTCTCAGTTTCTGTTTGATTCTTTGTGAGTTTTTCTAAGGCTGCATCAAACTGCTTGTTGGAGCGCCTTAAATAATTAATGGCTGCTCTAAAGTCCTTATTAGAGAATTTGAACATCTGTGTCATCTTGGTGTTAGCACCTGTGACTGCTTTTTCTCTTCCTGGTTCTTGGTGCCTTTTGCTTGTGACTGGACGCTTTGGGAATTGTGCTGTGCGACTCTGGACTCCATTCCAGGCTCTCTGTGCAGGCAGTGGCCCGTGCGGTGTGTTGCACGCGGGTCCCGTGGACTCTTCAGCAGGACTTTGGTTAACGCTGCAATGTTTGCATAGTGAGAAGAACGGTGAGATCGACCAGCAGCGGGAGCAGTATGAAAACCTGAAATGGAGGCTGGAGAGGAAGCTCGAGGAGCTGGATGGTGAACTTGCTCTGCAGAGGCAGGTAGGACGTTCCGACCGCGGCCCCGTCTCAGCTGCCGGCTGGAAACCGAGTTGTTGAGGGAAAGTCGGCCTTTTTGTTAACTGTGTGGTATCCATGGGGTCCGCGTTGAATTACCGGGGCAGATTTCCATTCTGGGGTGGGCTGGGGGATGTGGCGGGCGTCTGAACCTTCGTCTGTAGTGACTCCCTGGGTGTCTCTTTCCTCACAAAAGGATACACGTTGTCTCCCTTATTTATTTTAGAAAAAAGTATTGAAAAGTTAAAATTTGAGTTACTTACTGTAGAAAAGAGCTGGGGACTCACAGCGTGGTCACTGTATTTCTTTTGGGGAAAACCATAGGTGGCCAATCCTAAGTTTCGACAGAGTTGTGCCGGCTGGCAGGTGGTGCTTAAGCCTGTCACCACGGTTTCCCCTCCGTGACACTGAAACCCAGCCTGCACGTCTGACGGACTCAGCTGCATTGGGTTTTGGCCGAAGGGGCCCGTTCTCACTTGTGGAGCCGCATGGGTGCAGGCGCTGGGGTGACAGGCCCCCTGGTCTCCATGGAGCACGTGCTGAGCTGCTGTCCTGAGAGCAACAGCAGTGTTCATGGAAACTGCATCCACGAAGGTCCTTGTGCTCCTCACAGCAGGGACACGGTTTTGACCAGATATTTACAGGTGGGGGACTGAGCCCAGAATCAGTGACCAACCTGCCCGGGATCCTCTTCATACACGGCACAGATGTCATATGAGTCCAGGATGTCTCCGGGGTGTAAGCTCTTACCACTGTTCTCCTGCCCTGGGATTGCTCTTGTCGGGGAGCCAGAACTCCTGTCCCCTCAAGGATCCTCTACTTAAAATAAGAGTCAGGGGCGCCTGGGTGGCTCAGTCGGTTGAGCGTCCGACTTCAGCTCAGGTCACGATCTCGCGGTCCGTGAGTTCGAGCCCCGCGTCGGGCTCTGGGCTGATGGCTCGGAGCCTGGAGCCTGCTTCCGATTCTGTGTCTCCCTCTCTCTCTCTGCCCCTCCCCCGTTCATGCTCTGTCTCTCTCTGTCTCAACAATAAATAAACATAAAAAAAAAAAAAAGAGTCAGATTGACATGAGACGGGTTAAGAGGAAAAAACCAAGTGTAACAGGCGTGCGTACGGGGAATCCACACGGACAGGGAAATTCCAGAGACCCACCAACATGAGATGTATATGTCATTCTGAACTAAGGAGAAAGAGCTTTTGAAATCTCCTGCAGAGGATTTCTTTTAGAGTTTTCTGGAACTAAAGAACTTTGTCCATTATGGATGGATTTGATTTTGGAAACGGCTCAAGTTGTTAGGGCACGAAACTGGGGCCCGAGCAGCGGGATGAAGGAAAGAGCAGTTGTGACTTCACCGGGAGGTGAGGAGGTTTCCTGAGTCAGCACCAGGGTCACGTCCAGAGGAATTTCCAAAGTGCCCTGGGCAGTGGTGGGCCGTCCCAGTTAGCAGGCAGGCGCTCAGCGGCCCCTGGAGGCAGCGATGACCCTGGGGAATGGTGTGAAGTATGCTTTCCATTGTACTTCTCTGAGTATCTCTGAGGCTCCCGCTGACCTTCCGAGATCCAGGGATCCAGCGTGGGCACGTCGCTGGGCAGGTGTGTGGCCCCCGCCTGCCTCCCCGGGAGACGGCGGACCAGGGAGGTGGCGGGTGTGGCCACACTGTCAGGCCGGCTTCAGCCTCCTCCCAGAGCCTCCTTTGCGTAGCCGAGTCTGTCCAGGTCTCTTCGAGAGCAGGGTCACTTGGGGTCCTGCTTGCTGTGCTGTGTTGCCTGCGCGCTTCTCCGTGGGGATGGGCTTCACGGGCCCGACGTCACCTCTGCTCTGACCACAGGGCTGGGCCAGGTCACCGTGAGATTTCAGGGCAGGAGAGACCAAGACGAACTGCGGTTTTCTGCATCAGCCCAGTCTGCTTCTCCTCAGTGTGGCTTCTGCGTCCCTGTTCTCCTGAGGACCGAGCACGTCCACGCCTCTAGTCCACGAGCAGGTGGACCCTGTGGGGCTGTCTCTTCGCCTGAGACCATTGGGAACGGACAGTAAGAGACTAAACACGGAGAGAGCCGTGCAGTGGAGGGAGTGGAGGGGCCTCGGCTGGAGAAGCAGCAGCCCGCAGGGAGGGGCTGTTGGGAACGTGGTGCGGGGAGCTCAGGCCCCACGTGTGGTGGGGGCTGGCCTGGCGTCAGCCGGGGGTCTGTGTATGGGCAGCCACCCCCACGTGTGCAGACGGAACAGCCAGCAGGCAGGAGCTCGGCGCACTTCTCCGTGACAACGTGGAACTGCCCATCTGGGGAGAAGGAAGGCCGCGGGTGTGGACCCTGGTGCCTGCGGTGTGGGGCTGACAGGTGGGACCCCCATCCAGCGACAGTGCCCCAGTCGGCTCAGCGATTTACATACAGTACATGCACCCGTGTAAGGGCCGAGACAGAAGCCCCCGTCACCTGCGGTCCCAGCATGCGCCCTTGTGGTCAGTGAGCACCACTCTGGCCCCGGCAAGCGCGGGTCTGCTTCCTGCCGTTGCGGGGACGTGTGACTGTCCCGGCCGGCTCCTCACCCGCGCGTGGACGTTTCAACATTTGCGTCATTTCCAGTTTGAGGCCATTAAGAATAAAGTTGCTGTGGCCGTTCTTGGCAGGCCTGCATTTATTTGGGTAAATAACTTGGGAGTAGAGTTTCTGGCTTGTGTGCTAGGGGAGTATTTGACTTTGTAAGAAATCACCGACCTGTTTTCCAAGACGTTTGTACCATTTTGTGTTCCTCCCAGCGCCAGCAGATTAGAATTTTAGCTGCTCGGCGTCCTTGTCGGCACAGAGTATTTTCAGCTTTTCCCATTTCAGCCATTTTAGGGGCGAGTCGTGGTGTCTTGCTGTGGTTTTCATTTTCTTGTCCTCGGTCGATGTTTATGCATCTTTCCGTGTGTTCGTTGGCCGTTAATATATTTTTTTGTGTGAAGTGTCTGTTCACCTTTTTGCCCTTTTTAAAAGGTGGATTATTTGCCATCATGTAATTGATTTGTTAGAGTTCTTTATATATTCTGGAATCGAGTTCTTAGGTACATATATTACAATTTTCTCCCGTTCTGGGCCTGGTGTTTTCCTTTCCTTAACAGTGTCTTATGAACAGCAGGTGATATAATTTTGATGACATTCCAGTGAGCTGCTTATATTTCCTTTCTTTTTTTTTTTTTTTAATATTTATTTATTTTTGAAAGCGAGAGAGCGTGCACAGAGGGGAGGCAGGGGTGGGTTGGACAGAGGATCTGAAGTGGGCTCTGTGCTGACAGCTGGGACGTTTGAGAATTGCCAGCCCCATGGAAAAGGAGCTGAGAATAACAGGGAAATGACCCTGAATAGAACAGAGATGATTGCTCAGTCACTGGTCCTGTAGCCCGCCACCGTGTGCCCACTTCAGATGTGAGGCTCCTGGGCGGTCAGCGGGAGGCATCCGGCCCGGGCTGGACGTGCCCACGCAGGCATCTGGTTGTCCTTGCCGGCCTCGATGTCCATTGACCAACCAGTGATTCTGTGACTCCCCCTGCCCTTCAGCCGGTCCAGAGTGGGGTGAGGACAGGGTCAGCCACTCCTCCTGATGCGTCGTAGTTTTCAGGGTCTCAGGGTGCGTTGTGGGGGCTTCCCGTGATTAGTGCCACCAGAGATGTGTTTTGCATCTGAACCCAAGAACAAGATGCTGGGAGGAAGGGCCAATCACAGATCAAGAAAGAATTCTGACAATTAAAAGTATTTTTAAAGAAATTAACTCAGAATATAGACCAAAAAAGACAAAATCTGGGAGAAAAATCTAAGAGACGTGGAGGGTAAATCAGGATGTCCAATTCAGTGGTCACATTCCAGAAACATACAGTGGAAAACAGGAAGGGGAGACTATTGAGATGGTCTGGTCGCTTCTCAGGACAGGGACTTGAGAACAAAAGGCCTGCAGAGGCCCGAGCAGCAAGTGGGAGGTGTTTCAGAGGCATCTGGAAACCCACAGAGGGGACACTGGACACAGCCTGTCCCGCTGCCCAGCCGCGGCTGAGGACGGCAGATGGGCCTACCCACGCAGGGGCGGGAGACTCCTGCAGATGCCAGGCTCCGGGGAGTCTCCGGGGAGCAGCTTTGCGGGCCCGGCCTGTGACCGAGGGCTCCACCTGCAGCCGCCTCCGGTCCCTTCCAAGTTCAGAACGGTGGGAGCCGAGAGATTGGAGCTGGAGAAGGCCTCCAGGAGGATGGGGCCCTGAGCTGGCAGCCTCCTGCTCCTCGAGGGCTCCGCTGGAGCCGGTGGGCCTGGTCCAGGCTGGGGCTGGGCTTTCAGCCCCCCGGAGGGGCGGAGGGGTGGTGTGGTGGAGGGTCTTCCCCGCAGGAGCGCACCCCAGAGGAAAGGGCTTGGGAGCCCTGGCGAGCGCACAGGGCCCGTGAAGAGCAGCCTGGGCAGAGCGTTGAGCCTGGAGAACGAGAGTCAGTCACGCTGCCCGAGTGGACGGCACTAAGGGGTGGGAGGGAACAGAGTGGCACGAGGGGAAGGGAAGGGCACGGTAGCCGGAAGTCCCAGAGAAATAGCGGGCTGCCCATCTGAACCAGGCTCACAGCTCACTGGTGGTGCACAGTGAGTGTTCTAGTAGCCTCATGATCCTCATGATGCCGCAGCGATGTTTTAGGTTCAGCCTGTGGGGGGAGCTTGGGGGACAGGAGGCGGCCTCCTCACAGAGCAGGCCTCACGGACCGTGGTTGCCACGTCAGGACGTGTGGGATGGGCCTCTCTACTGCCCATCCTGGCGAGGAGCCAGCAGAGAGCACAGGACACGGGCGGGCTCACGGTGGCGTGGGTGTGCTACGTGGAGACGCAGCGGGAACCACCCAGAAAGCTGTCGGCAGCGCTGCGCCCGTGCAGGGGCAGGATGAGCGGACCGGGGTCCCCGTCCCAAGCCCCCAGCGGGTCTTTGTCTGTGTGCCCCCAGGACAGGCCCAGTGGCTCAGCGGGTGCTCACGTCCATCGAGGCAATCTGACACCACGGGCCCGCTGAGGTGCTTTAGATGAGCGTGACAGGCGCCCCTGCCACCAGGGAGGATCTCTGCGTCCTGCCGGCTTCGGGCCCGCCCGCCTGGCGCCTGGTCGTGGCCGTGATTTCTGCTTGGGTACCGCCGTCTCTTCTCACCGCGGTCCCTTCCTGATTCAGGAGCTGCTGCTGGAGCTGGAGTCCGAGATGCAGAAGAGGGAGCACGAGTTCCGCCTGCAGGCTGACCGCATGAGCAACGAGATCCTGACGCACGAGCTCAAGGTGCGGCGGCCCTCGGGCCGTGACCGTTCCCGCTCGGGAGCAGGGAGGCCGCTTCTGGGTCGGGCGGCGGGGTGATGCGACACGAGGGCTGGCGCCACTGCTCTGGTTGCCCCTGCCTGGGGAAGTGGGCCCCCACCCGGGTAGGCTGTCCCCCCGATCCCCGCGAGACCCCCGCCATCCACCTGTGTGCTCCACGAGCTCGGCTGGGCCGGTGGGGGGTGGTGCTCATCCATGTAGGGCGGAGGAGGCCGGGCCAGTGGTTGGGGTCCGTGTGCGGCTCTTGCCCCCGGCCAGGGTGCTGGCCGCCCTTCCTGAACGTGGGTTCTTTAACACACCAGCCAGGTGCTGCTGGGGCGCACTAGCGTGCACGCCCGGCCTTTGGCAGAGACGCAGGGACCGGCCCTGAGGGAGTGGGAGGTGGCGTGGGGGAGCGGGAAGCAGGGCTGGCACCTGGCCCGAGGCCGCCACCCGTGTGGGTTACACCACGTGGGCGTTCAGCAGGTGCCCGTGAGAGACCCCTGCTGTAGTGCCCAGTGAGGGTCTTCCCAGGCCGCCAGCCTTCCCACGGTGCCACGGTCCAGGGGGCAGCACCCAGTCAGCCAGGGGCCCCGAGAACCCTGGCAGCTCTGCGTGGCTGTGTCTAGGCCCGGCAGGGCCCAGCCCAACCTCACCGTCTGGCCGGGACCCTAGCTCTTCCCTTAGTGCCCCCCGCCCCCCGCGAGGGGCACCTCTGCGTGGGTACCGCAGCCCCACCCCCAGAAGGCCCCACAGGGACCCTCACGAGGCCGCCTGGTGACTTCTAGGAGTCCCGGGCCAGACAGCAGGCAGCACACGCAGGGCCGCACCCTGGGCTCCGCGGTGGGGTGGGCGCTGCCGTCAGCGGAGGGCGGCAGGGGTCGTGGGGCCGGGGACACGCACGTTGCAGGCCCGCCCCACCCCCATCTGCCCTGCGGGGCTGTTACACAGGCCGCAGCGGACACACACCAGCTGATCGGGGCGCTGCAGCCGTTACGTCACCCGCAGCTTACGGCTGAGGAAACCGAGGCCCCGCAAGGTTCTTGTAAGATGGAGCGTGCGGGGAGCGCGGTCTTCCACTCTCCACCTAAGTGCTGGATTCGAGTGTTTGGTATTCACCGATGAGGCAGGAAGCCAGGTGCAATCGTAGCACTGTGCCGGCGCCAGTGGGCCGCGGGCCCGCCCAGGTGGCCGCGCTGCCCCCCACATTCGCTGCGAGCTCCTCACGCGTGAGCACGGCCTCGCGGTTTTGTCGCCTCTTGGATTGTAAGGTTTCTTCTCTTTCCTCAGGTTGTTCCAGTATCAGCCTCATTTTGAATTCTCTCTCCCTCGAAGGTTAAACTGTTGGACAAGGAGCTCACGGCTCTGAAGGAAGCTGCAGCACAGGCCGCGGAGTCGCTGCGGAGCGCCGAGGCCGCGAACTCAGAGCTGCGGGACCAGCTGCAGCGCGGCGGGCAAGAGCTCAGGGACCTGGCGGCGGCCAAGGACTCACGGTGTGGGGCCGCGCCTGCCTCCTGGGCCTGGGCCCGCGGGGGGGCGGCGGGGGGGGGCTCTGCTTTACCCGCTAACGTTTCCTCCGCCTCAGGATCAAGGACTTAGAAGGCCAACTTCGCTCGGAGCAGCAGGCCAGGAAGAAGGAGGAGGAGGCGTTCAGGAGGAAGTGAGTGTCCGCCCTGGCGCGCGGGGTTGGGTCCAGGCGGAGGCTGCCGTCAACCTGGGCCATCTGGCCTTTGAACTCACCGCTCGGGATTTTCTCAGCGGTGCTCAGGCTTTTTGGCGTTTCGAAACTTTTAAACTTAGAAGTCGTATCGGCTGGTTTGTTAATCGCAGATTGCAGCAACAAACGTCACTGTAGCGATAAGGGCGCCTCTCGTTTTCCTTGCGGCCCCGTGCCCTCTGGCTTCTCAGGAGCCCCCTCTTCCCGCCGGGACGCTGATCGCTTACCTCGGTGTGGGCCGTGTGCCCCCCGCTGCCTGCCGGGTGTCGGGGTGGCCCAGCGGGTAGGCGGCGGGCCCCCTGGGGCAGCGACCCTAACGAAGCGCTTGGTGGCCCGCCCAGGCTGAGGCGTGTGAGGCCAGCAGGACGAGGAGGGCGCAGAGAAGGCACAAGGCTTCTGGGCGAGCCCGTGCCCTCGGGAGCAGCCCGGGCGAGCCCGAGGGGGCAGCGTGGGTCAGGCCGTCCAGCTGCTGCGGGACTGCCTCCCGTTCCCTTTTCCGGAGAAGCAGCACGAGACTGCGTGTGACGCACGCGTGTGGCAATGGGGAAGCCAGTCGGGAGCAAGAACGCGGGGGGCTGTGGAGCAAGGGCGACCCGGGGGCATTCATGTGGCCGTGGTGTTTGTGCAGCACGTGCTCGCAGAGGAGAAAAGCTTTACAGCCCGTGTGCTGCCCGTTTTCACCCGTAGTTAGAGCCCCCTGAGCTGGGAGCTGCCTTCCAGACACCATCGACCTGTATCCACCTCGGCCCGGGCCTTGCGCACACGACTGAGAGGGTGGGCCTCACTTGTGCGCTCCCGCTGGTGGCGTGTGGGTGCCACAGGCACTGCAGAACGTGGCCTTGCTTGAACCCGTAGGCCGGGAGTGCTGGGACCTCTTCCTTCGCGCGCTGTGGCCACTGGCCTTTGGCTTGGGCGGCCGTGGAAGAATTTGGCACTTTCAGAGTCTTTTGAATCATAAATTGAAATAATTTAAAAAATGAATATAATTAAAAAAACTTATCTCTGAGAGAGAGACAGAGTGCGAGCAGGGGAGGGGCAGAGAGGGGGAGACACAGAATCCGAGGCAGGCCCCAGGCTCCGAGCTGTCAGCACAGAGGCCAATGGCGGGACCGGAACCCACAAACCGTTAGATCGTGACCTGAGCCGAAGCCAGACACTTAACTGGCTGAGCCCCCCAGGCGCCCCTAATCTTTAGCGTATCAGAAATGTTGGCATCAAGAGGTAGAAGTGTTCAGGAGCACCTGGCTGGCTCCCTCCGTGGAGTGTGCAGCTCTTGGTCTCAGGGTGGTGAGTTCGAGCCCCACACTGGGGGAAGAGATGACTTGAAGATAAAATCTCTTGAAAAAACAAGAAGTAAAACTGTTTGGTTACTGTTTAAAACGTATCGAAACAATCCCTACCATTGATTTAAAAGTACGTGAACCAGCCTTACGTATAATTTTCCTTTTTCTTCTGCCCGAACTCCCATTTTTACCTGACTTCCTCAGGACCTTTGTCCGAATATAATGAATTTTTTTGCCCTTCAGAAATTTGCACTCCGTCACCTCTAACAACAATATGTAGATTTACGTAAACTGAAAACGACATTGAGTGGGGTCACCAGGCTTTAGGTGTTCTGAGAGGGTTCTAAGTGCAGGTCTTACGATAGGACGTACTTTACAAAACAACATACCATAAAAGTCAGTAATTACTAAGTAAACTGTAAAGTCTCCTTAGGAACGCCCCTCTCAGGAGGCAAGACGTCCCCACTTCAGTTTGCAAGCAGACTGTGTGGGGCTGGCCACCTCGTCACGCTCACGGCCAGGGGGCAGCTAGGTGGGTTCTCTGCCGCATCTCCTGGGCTCTGAGCGCCTTCCGGTTACGTGCCTGGATCCACCTGCTGGCTTCTCGTCCGGAATGGTGTCGTGTCCTGTGTCTGCTGCTCATGTGGCAGCGCCTCCACGTCTGTGGCTGGCCACGTGTCTGCGTATGGTCAGCAGGACCGTCCACGTTCTCTGTTTCCGGAAGCTTAGATAAGAGGCTTTTTTAAGACTTACTCTGTGACCGTTCCATAGACCAGGTGTCTTTCCACTCAGCGACACTTTGTGTCTGGGAAGCTGGGACGTTGTGACTCGAGCACGTTTGCCAACACGATGTTTACACAGTAGGATGGTTTTTATTTTGTCGCAAGCTTTACCATTTCTCTCTAAGACCTCAAGCTTACAGATTTAGGGAGAACGTTCACCAGGCCACCTAAACAGCAAAACCCACCTTCGCTGTGAAACCATTAGCTGGTCAGGCGGCTCTGCGAGACCGTATCTCTTCATTTTTCAGTCCAAGCAAGTGAATTTGTCGGTGTTTGGAGGAGTGTCATTGAAACACCGAGAATTCTAGGACACACCTCGTAAAATGTCATGTCCTAAAGCGGTCCAGATGAAGACAAATTCGTGCTAGTATACTTGGCACATTTTTTTTTTAATTTTTTTTTTTTTTAACGTTTATTTATTTTTGAGACAGAGAGAGACAGAGCATGAACGGGGGAGGGGCAGAGAGAGAGGGAGACACAGAACGGGAAGCAGGCTCCAGGCTCTGAGCTGTCAGCACAGAGCCCGACGCAGGGCTTGAACTCACGGACCACGAGATCATGACCTGAGCTGAAGTCGGCCGCTTAACTGACTGAGCCACCCAGGCGCCCCATACTTGGCACATTTTAAAGCGTGTTATTGGCGTACGCGGATGCTTCGCCTCGGAACCTGCCGTGGGATGATGCAGCGTCCCAGGCGGCAGATGGGGCCACGGCGACGGAAGGAGTAACCACCACCACGCGGTGCAGTTGGAAATGACTACTCATTTCACCAGCCGTCACGATCGGACTTTCCTGGTTTGACACAGAGAAGGGCATGTGCTGCCAGAAAGTAACAGGCACAGCAGCCAGCGTGTGTCTGTGTCTTTGCCAATAGAAGGTAGAAAATCCTGACCAGGTTGCACGGTGGGTAAGATGAGGCTTGATTGTAGTTAGAACGAAAAGTACATAATGTGACCTGACAGAAAGGCTTCACCATTTCACCGGGAGATGCTGGTGGAATCTAAAAGAAACCACTAGAATTATATTTTTGGGGCTTTCAACTTTTTACTGAAACCAAGTGGAATAAAAGCATAGAAAGGGCTGAGCGTTGCCAGTCAGATGTGCACACGACACCTGCCAATATGGTGTGGGGTCAAGACGGGCGTCTGTTCTGGTGATGGAGTTCTGGTAAGTTTGGCGTCTCCCAGCAGACACAGAAGCGGCCGCCGTCCCCCGGTCCCCAGTCGCAGGGAAGGCATCCGGGTCCTGGACTGATGGAGAGTGACGGCCACGTCCCACCTTCAGGGGCTGCTAGGAAAACCGGTGAGGGTGCTAGTGATGCTGCTTTGCCGGAGCCCCGGCTTCCGGGGCTTTTCTTCCGGGGGTGCTGAGCTCCAGAGTCGGGCCAGGGGCCTCTCAGCCAGTGTCCACCCGGCGAGTGTCCACACGGCTGGGGGGCCGGGGCTTCCCACACGGCTGGGGGGCCGGAGCTTCCTTGGCTGAGGACATGAGCACGACAGCCCCAGGTCCAGGGTACGAGCAGGAGCGAGGAAACCGCGGGCGAGGTGCCCGGGGACTGGAGCGGGGCCCACGCCAGCTGCCGGGGCCCCTGCTTGTGTTTCAGGCACGAGGCGCTGGACCACCTGGCCAGGGAGAAGGACGCGGTGCTGGTGGCTGTGAAGGGTGCCCACGTGGAGCAGCTGCAGGCGCTGGAGGCCAGGGCGCTGGGGTTGCAGGCCCACGGCGACAGCCTCGAGCTGCAGCTCCGCAGGGCAGAGCGGAGGCAGGCCGAGGCCTTGAAGGAGAAGGACGCCGCCACGGACAAGTGAGTGTGGGCGGGCGGGCCTGGGCGCCTTCCTGGGGCTCTCTGGTTGTTGTTCTTTTCTTTTCTTGAAATGGTGTCGTCGCTATGTATGCAGTCATTGTGGTAAAATACACACAACATAAAATTTTCCGTCCTAACCACTTGAAGCCACAGTTTGCGGGCACGGAGCACACGCGCGTTCTTGGGTGTAGCCTCCACCGCCGTCCGTCTCCAGACTGTGTCTCGGAAGGTGGACGCTGTCCCCGCTAAACCCCAGCTCCCCCCTCCCCCTGCCCTGGGGCCTACCATCTCCTCTCTGTCTCTGTGAACTTGACTCCTGCAGGTCCCCCATATGAGTGGGATCCTATAGTACCTGCCTTTTTGTGACTGGATCATTCCACTTGCCAAGATGTCTTCAAGGTCCGTTCATGTTGTAGCCTCTGATAGGAGTCCCTTCCTTTTTTTTTTTTTTTTTTTTTTTTTACTTTCGAGAGCGTGAGCAGGGGAGAGGGGCAGAGGGAGAGAGAACCTTAAGCAGGCTCCACGCTTAGCTGGATCCCATGAGCCTCGGATCATGACCTGAGCCAAAATCAAGAGTCAGACACTCAACCAACTGAGCCACCCAGGAGCCCCAAAGATTCCCTTCTTTTTCATGGCTGAGTAATATTCCGTTGTGTGGATGGGATCATAGTTTCTTTTTCTGGCCATCTGTCAGCGGACATTTGGCTCATTTCCACTTTTTAGCTATTGTGAATAGTGCTGCTGTGATCATGGGTGTGCAAATGTCTATTCAGGTCTCTTCTTAGAATTGTTTTGGGGATATACCAGAAGGTCAATTGCTACATGGTAATTCTGCATTTAACTTTCTGAGGAACCACCACCCCGTTTTCCACAGCGGATGCGCTGCTTTGCACAAAGATTCTAATTTCTCCGTCAACTGGTTTCTTCTTTTTTTTTTTTTTTTTTTTTATTTTAAACGTTTATTTATTTTTGGGACAGAGAGAGACAGAG